AACACTTACTAGTTGAAAATATAACTGAGGATGACTATAGATGCAATAATTTGAAGTAAAACTTAGAAAATAATTATATCTCACCTGATACTCTGTAGTACTTTCCTGATGATAATGTTTCAGTTTCAACTCTTGCGAGTTTTCTTCATTTTTCGGGTTCTGGACACGTTCCACAGTTCGAGATTTAGATAAATACCACTGGCACTTGAAAATTTAGCGATCCAGACTCCCTATTGGGAAAGGAAAAATGAAGTTAGAAAGAATGTTATTGAGCAGAAATTTTGCATGCATAGATTGTATAACATATCTATTTGTTCCTTTAACATGATACTTGGTTTCGAACGAAGAGAGTTCATTTCAAAAATTATCAAGGTGTCGCACCACTGCATGTTCGCACAAGGTTATTGTGGCTCTCGCGAAGTAAAACGTAAGTGAAAGAGTAATTAAAATAAACTCTCTTTCCCCTTCGAGAATATTATCTTTAAGATTTACGAAGTTAAGATCCAGAGGTCTGATAAGGTTAATGATCTGCTAATTAATTTGATATGTATGTGTGGCAGTAACTTTAGAGATAGTTAAAATGGCTTATCACTTTTGCTATTCTATTGAACAATTGATTTCACTTGCTGTGTATTTGATACTATTACTTTATTAGAATAAAATGAATATAAACAAAAAAAAGGTGAATTGTATATTTTCGGAGCTGATTACATACACAATTCTATACTATAACACCTCGAACTTACGCTATCGATGAGACTGAGTGAAACCTCGTAAGTTGAATTCGCTTAAGTCGGGGGTATGATTTCGTATATAATTACATACAAATTATTTTTAATTGTGTTGGAGACGAAAGAAAATAATAATTTAGAAAAAAAATGTTTCATAAAATCTTGGATAACACATACGCAAAATCGGAAACCGAAGTTTATTTGACGTAGAAGGTTTCATAAAATCTAACAAGGTAGTCTGCCTGCTCAAAGATTGTTTTTTCCCCATAAAATTTCTAGCATGCTAATAAATTTTTATTCCTTGTTTTGTTGAAAGAATGCACTCATCGTTGGAATCTATGTTTCTTAAAAAATTTGTAACCCTTTTTCAATTAAACAGAGGCCTCTTCTATTAAATACTCAACCGTCTTCGATCTTCTGATTAAACTCTGGGTTCCTAAATTCTTCAATGTCTTGCTTTTGCTCAGGCATTTCTATGAGCTCCTCAATTGTCACTCCCGATTGTGGGTTTGATCATTATCACTTTAAATTTTTTGGGCAAGAGCCAGTTTTCAATACTGCCCAAACCCTTTAGTCTGGGGCCCGATCGAAGAAAAGAAGAAATTGAAATGCAAGATGGAGGGTCGTTAAAGTGAGAGAATGTAACTTAAGTTACCAGATCGTGACACAGCGTGCGTTTCCAAAGATGCAAAACCCTTCTTGGAAAATGAAAAGATCATTGGGACCTGTTTGGAAATCTACCAAGTTCTAAGAAGGAAGCATTGATGGTTCTTTGATTGTGGAAACTATAGTTCTTGTACCCCATTTACTTTATTCAATTGATTTTTCAGTCAAGATTGACAAATTTTTCCCCTTCTAATTTTACCTATTGCTTTTGTCTTGTTAAACAAAGACGAAGAACTCAATTCGAAAAATGGCCTTAAATCGGGGTAATTAATCGAGAACCGTTTAATTTGCAGTTACAGATGGGCAACTCATATCAAAACGGGTGCGATTTTTTTTTAAAGACCTTACGAAAAACTTTTGCAAAAAATTTCTTGTAATTTCCCTTGTGAAAGGGGAAATTTTTGCTTATAGGACCATTCAACAAGTTTCCAAAGAGCCAAGGGGTGATTATTCGGTTTCGAAAGGGTGAGAAAATCTTATTTTAAATTTTTTGTACCAATTTATTTTTATTTTTAAAATTTTTAAAATTTTAAAATAAGTTTGGATCGTACATGTAATGACTTTCATGCGATTGATTGGTTTTTTTAATACATATGACTTTTTCAATGTCAGACCTTAAATGAACACGGACCTTAGAATAAGGAATTATATTACAAGGACCGTTACAATTTGGAAGCATTAAATATGTCAACTCTATAAAGTATATTAAAGCGTTTAAAAGGCTTGGCTTGATTTAATTAATTTTTAATTATCTTATACTGAAAAAGCTTTTTGCTAAACATTTAACTTTAATTCGACACTAAATCAGATGAAACTGGCGACGTTACCATAGTTTTAAAGTGCTTTTATTTTAGTACCATTCAACATCTACGTTTCCGAAAGAGCCAAGGGGCTATTTACCGGTTTAGAATGGGAGTGGCAGATAATTCTTATTTAAATTTATTCGAATGTATAATTAGAGTAAAATTATTCAATATTTCACGTAATGTAATCCATCTATTGAAAAAATAAATTATTGGGATACAAGATACAACATGGTAATGACTCCATGCGATTGATATAAAATTCCCATATTGAAACATATTATTGGTAATATATGTATAGAATTACAGTAACGTATAATTACATTATGTCGTATCATCGCTCATAACCAAGCATTGTTTTGTTAATTCTTTTGATATTATAATTAGAAATATTTGGTATTATAATTAACTATCAATTGTATTCTGATTTTGACGAAGAGAGGATTAAATGTGTTGGTTGTGGTACCAATAATCTTTAAAGAATTATACAAAATGTTTTGAAATTTTTTTATTTACAAGATTTTTTTTTTGTTTGACTTTTTTATTGTACTTTGTATTTTGTTTATTTATTTTTTTTACCATTATTTCTATCTTTATGAGTGTTATCTTTGTCATGCAAATTATTATGTATTCATTCGCTATCAGAAACATTTTCCTTTATTCTATTTCTTCGGAATCAAATAAAAATATTGAGTTTAAGAAAAAAAAAATATATTATGAATAATGATGATTAACAAAAGAGTTGCTTGTAAGTACAACATGTTTGGTGTATTAAGTAATCTTTTTTACAAAACTGCTTAAGTATGTTTCATCATTAATATTACAATTGGAGTTTTTGTGCAAATCAGCTTTACAAGATAAAAGTATTAATTTGTTTACATTTTATAAATTATATCTATCTGTACACCATAGCTTATATCTTTATATAACTTTTTGTTTCTAGTTGGGTTATTAAGCAAATCGTATTAGATTGTTTAATGTTTGCATGTATGTGTGTGGCCTTTATGTTGTTGCATTTTTGTGAATATTCTATTGTATTATATATTGTTTAGATTCAATATTTTGTGTTATTTTTTTCTGTTTTCGAATGTGGTTTATTTCAAGTTTTGAAGTTACATGACAAATCTATAATTTGTAACTCTACTGTTTTGAAGATTAATTTTATTTCCAAGTTTCAATTTTGAACTGTATGATTTTGAAAAAGAGAAAATAAACAAATAAACTTTATTTTTTTTTTCCAAAAAATGCGATCGAAAAACACATTACTTTTAATGCAAAACTTTCACTATGTAATAACTTTAAAAATTTATTTTCCATTTTTATAACAGGCTTTAAAATAATATTAAAACTATTGAAGTGAACGGCTGAAATAATTTTTTTAATGAAAAATACTATGTTTTGAAGAACGTGGAATAGTTTTAATTTAAGCAAATACTTATGAATACATTTCGCAACGTTTATGCCATTTCATTAATTTTATTAAAGTAAAACCTGTGGTAAACATTCGATTATCAACAAATTTCGAACTTTTGAATCAAGCGTAATAAAATTTTACTAAATGTATTTAGACGGCTAAGTTAATAATGCGTAAGTTAATTACATTTCAGCTCCATAATTTTACATTTAGGAATACAAAAAGTTCCATGCCAAATATTCCCCAAGTTCACTGTCTTTTGGAACAATTTTAAATGAAAAAAATCTTTTGGCCCCAAAACACGTCAAAAAGAAAGCCAAATGACGAAGAAACAACTTTCGAGGTAAGTATGACAGCCTCACAACTGTCATAAAATTTTTAATAATTTATTACACTTTAATTTATTTCCTGACGATGTGCTAAAATTACAATATACATCAATGCATTACTAAACGAGTGCTTAATTTTTATGTAACTTTTATATACATTAATCCAATAGAAATTATAAAACAAATTTATCACTGTTATAGTAACTATTGGTATGAGCGAGCATTTGAAAAGTGGTCAGATACAATTTATTGGTAAAACAATGGCCCTTTAGAGGCAAATTAAAGAGTATGACAATTGAGCTTATAATTTACGAGAATACAGATTTAAAATAATGTTTTTTTTTCCCAATAAATCCATTGCGTAATAATTTATTTATTTGGGGATTCTTCCAATTTACCTTAATATAGAATTTGATTGAATATATATATATATATAATGTAAAGATAATTAAATTAGATTAAAAATTAAAAATTAAATTCCCTATCTAGCAATTCACTTTTATATTTTCTCCTCAGCTCGTCAAAGTATCAAATTAATCACCCATTTATTCCTTCCGAACATATGGCCTAGCCAATAAACATGTCTAATTCCAGATCGTTATATTTAATAGCCCTATATGTCAGCATTAACTTTCAAGAGCATTTATTGAACGCCGCGATCGCTGTTTTAAGTGTTTAACCCACTTAAGATTTTTCGGTGGCGTTTTTTCTCTACATTTTTGCGTCAGATGATGTCTAACTTTGATCAAATAAAGTTCCTTTTTAAAAACTAAGTCTGTTTCTGACTTCACAAATCATGTCATATATATATATAAAATTAAAGTCAATTAATACTTAGGTCAACAAAGAAATTTTTTTTATTTTAGTTGCTCTTTATTAAATAATTACAATTAATGTAAATATGAATATACATGTGACAGAATCACAATATTAAGTGGCAAAATAAAAAGCGATTTTCCTTGCAACTTTCCATTTTCCTTTCAATATATGGTGTTGGACTACTATTTTCGTTTTTTAATATTTATTCATGCAAAAATACATTCTCAGAAATTATAGGCCTCCCAGGTAGGATTCGAACCTACGACCTTTGGATTAGAAGTCCAACGCGCTAAAGGGACACAACGAGCAATTTTCCTTTTTATATATGGTGTTGGACTATGATTTTGGTTTATTACTATTAATTCATTAATTAAAGAGAATTAATGAATTAATATTTGAAAAAATTGTATTAACATCAAATGTCATTCACTACAAGTTTAAAAAAATGTATTTTAACTTGAGTGAATGAATAAAAAGCATTTTATTAATGAGTGAAAATTTGAGCAATATATATATATATATATATATATAGGGAGAGTGTGAACTGATTAGTAAGAATTGAAAAATCAGAGATATTAATATTAAAATCATTGCAGAGAGTCCACATTTATTTAATCTCACATTACACATGAACTGTCCTTGACTTATTTAAGTTCTTCTTTTTTTATTATTTAATTCGTTTTTAAATGATCAAACAAACATTACATCACTTTTACTTAAAAACCCATTTTGTCCTTGAACCATATTGTCTTTCCAATGACAGACTAACACACAGATCCCAATTTTCTGAAATATCCTTTTTCCCTCCATATCAAAAATAAACATTTTAGTAAATAAAACCACACAAAACACGATATTTTGAACTATTTTCCAACAACTCCCATCTTGCGTGCTCAATTCGATAAAGTCGGGTTCCTCTAATGTTTGATGAGTTCCGAGAAAGGTATAGTCCACCTTGCAGTGGCAGCCGGAATCTTTTGACTTCACAAAACAGGCTACACGATTAACCTACTAAAAAAAGGATGGGAAAAGCGTCGTGTTTCGGTGTTGTAGTACGGTTTTATTGTTTAGCTTTCGGAGGGATTATTCGTTGAAAGGGAATGTAATGATAGGGTTATGGTGGATAACAATAAAAATGAAAAGAAAATCTCACTGATGGAGAAATTTTGTCTTTTAGCGGTTTTTAAAGTATCACCCTTCTGATGTATATGGTTTCATGAAAGAAGAAAAGCGGTGTTTTTTGAAGTTCTTCTTTGGAGATAATTTTATTGTGAGAAAGAAATAATTCCTGATTCTTTTTAACCTAAGCTTAGTTAGGTTTATTCTTAATATTTTAATTAATAAATTTTAAAAAGTAACACGTTTTCATGTTCTGTTTTACTCTTCAATTGCTTTGTACACGCTCTTGTGAGATTTACAGAGTGTATCAGTACAATGTTTAAAAACTTTCAGGTCATATAAAGCAGTGAACTCCAACGTTTTTTTATTGCCGCTGACCGGTCAACGTTTGCTAATTTTACAGCGGACCACTAATGGAGGACGTTGATCGCTTATATTTTATTTATATATTTTTAAATTTTATTGTAATTAAATATGCCCTCAGAATAAAATGCACAGTTAAGCCAAAAAATGGATACAAAGTAACTTAACGTGGAATATAAAGTGATTTCCATGAAAATTCGTATAAACCTGAGAGAATTGCACCACAGTAAATACAATGGAAATAATTTACTGTTCCTTGGGAGGCCCAGTATCATTTGGTCCACGTACAGGTACCACTCCACGGCCAGAAGGTTGGGGACCACAGAGATAGAGAACACCTAGACGATGGGAATCACATACGAATGCAAAGTCGGGAACGCTTTCTTGGCGGGATAGTGACGACACAAAACACAAGAAAGATAGGGTAAGAGGAGAAAATGTGTTTATTATCCTTAGTACAGCAAAAAAAAAACAAGGGAAAAAAACATTAAAGAGACAACGATCGTCCTCAATGTGTGATACCCCCCAACCCGGGGGTATCCTCTACGCGACCTAGATTTGTAGGAGAAAATGATTGATCACTCGAGTTAACCCTAATCAACTAATTTATTATTATCCCAATATATTGATCCAAACAACACAAGTCTTTCTATAGGGATGTAATCAAAAGTGATATAACGTAATTCTAAATTCTAAGTAAATAGCGCTTGAAAAATCTAACACCTAGATTTTATGAGAGTTATCATAAGGAATGTTAATCAACGCTTTCTGGCGGGATAGTGACGACACAAAACACAAGAAAGATAGGGTAAGAGGAGAAAATGTGTTTATTATCCTTAGTACAGCAAAAAAAAAACAAGAACAGAAACATTAAATGAGACAACTGATCGTCAAAGTGTGATACCCAACCTTCACGGCCGCAGTATCCTCTACGCGACCAGATTTGTAGCGAAATCGATTGATCACTCGAGTTAACTCCTAATCAACTCACTTATTATTATTCCAATATGTTGATCCAAACAAATACAAGTCTTTCTATAGGGATGTAATCCAAGAGTGATATGGGCGTGATTCTAAATTCTAAGTAAATAGCGCTTGAAAATCGCTAATCTCACTATCTTTAGAGATGTTACTCAAGAATCTTTACCTTAGATTCCTTAACATGCTAAAGTCCGTTCTATAATTACGCTTCTATATTTAATGTCTTACCATCAGCTCAAGGCGATCAGCATCTCGGCTTTCGTTCTCCTTCCAATTCTACCTACGCTCCATTATATATCTGTTAAATAATCCGCATATCGCGGTTTCTTCTTGAGAGGAATTGGATTGAAATAACTCAATTCTAGCCCCAAAGATTCCCCAAGAGGATTAATAGGAAAAACGTGATAAGGCCCTGTCACAAATGAAGGTGTTCGAAGTTACGAGCCCGGCCCAAGATGCATCTTCGGCGCAATGAAGATCGAACGTAATCAAAAATACCGGGTGTGTCCTGGGATTCCCTACAGCTGCTGCGATCGTGTAGCCATGTCCTCAGCACTGTTAACAGAAATTTTGTACACCAGTAACTTGACATTATCCCATAAAAAGTAATCAATGCAAGTGAGATCTGGCGATCGAGGGGGCCAATGTACTGGATAACCAATGCTTCGGCTTACGTCGGCGTTAAACATCGCGTACGCCAGCTAAAGACTTCCCAGCATTTATACTGTTCTAAGGATGATAAACATGTTTTCTCTCAAATTCATGTCCTGTCTTTCTTGTGTTTTGTGTCGCCACTACCGAGCCAGGAAATCGTTTCCGACCAAACATTGCTATGTGATTTCCTCGTCGTATGCTTTATCTATCCTCAAGGTTTGTAAGCACTGTATTGATACACCCTATATATGTGCACAGACGGATTAATTTAGAGAATAGTGTTCACATGTTGATATTTATAAAATTTAAAATCGTGAACGATGATCTTAATGAAATGATTTTGAATTCTGGAAAATTATTAGAACATCAGATCATGAAAAGAGAATCATATATAAAGCCTTTAAAATCTATTAAAAGTTTATCTCCTCTGAAATTTCTTCTTTAAAGAATTGTAATTCCTTTGTAACACGCAGCAAAACATTTTAACGCTTTAAATATTGAATGATTTATGATATCGGAAGAAATATGTAGCTAAATTATATGAACTGAAATATAATTTTCTTTCAAAGGAAACTTTTTTCATCAAAAATAATTTTGTTAAGTGATTGTGCTTACTTAAAATAACTTTGAATGTTTACTTTAAAATGCTTAAATAAATGCTTGTCTGAAAGTTTTTAATTTGAAAGTTATGAAGCAAATTATGGTACACTTATTTCATAATTAGTCCACTGGCATATATGAAAAGATATATCCACCAAGATGTATAAATAACAGTTTCTATAATACTTAAGAGCAAAGATTTCCATTGACAGCAAGCTTGGCTTCGTGTCTGGTGTAGATTGGCGCAAGTGATAAGGAATCCTTTAGTTCATATTAATTTTTGAAACTAAAATAGTTGTTGCTAGTTGAAGTATAATCACACAATATAACATTCAGTGATCTTATGGGAGGTATTTTTAAAAATTATACTTTAATGGATGTATTTGACATCGATCGTTTGAATTGATGTTACAGTCCACAAAAGTTTTTTTTTGTTTTGGGTTTCCCTGATCTCATTATGTAAAAAAAAAAACAGTTAAACAGTTAGATGAATAATAGCAAACTATTTGGCAAATAAAATTGTCTAACATTCAGTCGTAAATCATTTAAAATATCAGATCCATACCCATCCCCGTTGTTAAAGATCCAGCAATAGCAGCATTTTAATAATCGAGCGGCCGTGATTTATAGCAAAAATATTTAAGATCTATAGCAATTTAGTTTATGTAAAAGAGAAGCAGTGGCGTAACGGAGAATATTAGGGCCCCTCTGTAAAGTCAAGTTTTGTCTTTATATTTTATAAATTGGCCAAATATGCACTTATCATCAGTCACGTCACCGCTCCAGGCAGGGTCCGGTTTGTCCGGCCCCAGAGCCACCTCTACGTTAAGAATATGTTAGCTTTTTATAGTCAGATTTAATGGGTTACTCCAAATTAAGGTCTTGACGAAGCCCCATGGAGAAAATTTACGAAACATTTTGTTAAATAGTGCAAAACGAATGCATATCTAATGAATGGGGAATCATTTCACAGTTCACGTCAAGACAAAATTAGATGATAAATACTTAGGTTTACGAACGATTTTAGACAAATTAAAAGGAATTTTTTAAAATTTATATATTGCCAGAGAGATATAGGTCAATGGCCTGTCTCCAGGGAAGACTATTACCTCAGCACTTCGAAGAAACCAACGGGCATCAGTTTACCGGTCAGAGGAAAATAGTCAGAAAAAGACATTACCAAGACATACAGAAAAAAAATACAAGTAACATTGTGATAAATATTGTAAAATTAAAATATTTATAGTGCATTGGACATCCTCGCGAATTAAAACTAGCGCATCGAAAATGTCAAAAGTAAGCAAGTAAGTCTACTCCAGATGCACAAATTCACTGCTTGACAATTGCTAATGAACTAATGACTAACGCAAAATTGCATCTCAGACAGCTGACGAATAAAAATAAATTCAAGTTGAGAAGGTCTAGTAGAGAGAGAGACCAGGACTCATTGTTTGTATAAAAGACAGTGAATACAAGCTCTTGATTCATACCAAAATTCGTGCTGTTTGATGTTTGACGAAAATAGGGCTGGATGTTATAAAAGTTTTTTCTCTGAAATTCTGTTTATGTGTGAGTAATTCTTGCAATAAT